CTGGCGGGAAAAAGAAAAGGTTAGTGTCCATTCTCAACTTCATCGCATCAATCACCATCGTGTCCTCTCCCTCTGTCCTTAATAAAATCAAATCCTCTGTCCCTAATAAAATAAAATCCTAGAATCTCAAAAAACTATTAAGAAAAGAAACAAAAAAACAAATTACCCTTAATTAATGTAAAATTTGTATTGGTCGATGAGTAGGTGAGGGGTATTGAAGTAATAAAATTTCTCGATTTGCGGATTGATGGTAGGTAAGAAGGTACTCCCTTCATCCCATTTTAAGTGCAACCATAAGTTTTCGCGCCCAATTTTGATCGTCCGTCATATTTGAAAAAAATTTATAATTAGTATTTTTGTTGTTATGAGATGATAAAATATAAATAGTATTTTATTCGTGACTTATGTTTTTAATTTTTTTCAGAAAAAATTTAAATAAGACGGATAGTCAAAGTTGGGCACGGAAAACCATGACTGCACTTAAAATGGGACGGAGGGAGTAGGAGTTGGTTTATTTTAGAATAAATTTTAAATCATAGGAGTTAGTTTATTTTGGTACGGAGGGAGTATTTGATTAAAGTTAAACCGCCACCACACCAGACAGACACACATGTAAGTCCAATCGGCGGTTCAACGTGTCGACCCAAAAATATACTAGTGAATCAGAGTTCAGAGAGGGTGGGCCCACACTGATCACAATTCTGCAAACGGTAGTACTAGCACAGAAGATTGTGTGCTGGGAAATGAAATGATCCGAGAAAAAAATTGCGAATCGCCAGCCTGCGGAAGCGCGGTTATATAGAAAAAGGTCCAAATTTCAAACGAATTTGATCCAATTTAACACATCAGCAGCCAAAAACAAACAAGATCTCCAAATTTTCTTCAAGTAATTCAAAACCTCACACAGATTACACACATCTTCTCGCTCCGAGTCAACTGGCCGTGAGCCCGTGACCGTAACTCAGTCGCTGGGCTACAACTACATGCAAGCTTTTTCAGGATCAGAAGCTAAGCAAATGATTAATTAATTACTAAGCTGCAAGAACACAACAACTAGCTAGTAATCTAGCACGCTGCTACAAACATCACGAGTTGAACTATGCACACGCGCGAGCAGGTTAATTCATGATTCGAAGGCGAGACTACTTCAGCAGCCAGCGTACTGTCTTTGCTGGTTGCCGTACGTACGTGGAGCCGTCATGGACCGATCGATCGATCGATCAGCGGGTGCCGGCGGCGACGGTGAAGGGTGGCGGGGGAGAGAGCGGGGACGGCGGCGGCGAGGCGAAGGGGAGGCTCCGGAGGACGAGGAAGCGGACGCGGCGCGGGAAGATGCGGGGCGGCGCCCGCGACAGCAGGAGCTCCATGGCGCGCGCCACCGCCGCCGTGTACTCCTCCAGCAGCTCCGCCACGATCGCCACCAGGATCATCCTCTCTCTCTCTCTCTCCTTCTCCTTCTCCTCCTCGCGCCGCCGCCGGCGGGGTCCCTCGCGTCGCGAGTGCAGCGTGGTGTGGGTGGTGGCGTTTTGCGCGGCTTTGGATGGAGGCCTCTGGAGAGATGGATGCGATGCGATGCGATGCCATGTCCGTTCGTTTCTTCTGCTGAGCATTTTCTATTTTTTATTATTATTGTACTATTCTTTTTGTTTGTTTACCGAAGTAAAGGAATGGCAATCTTATCCGATGCCATGGTGTGGGGGCCGACGCTTGGGCCTTCTATGGAACCTTTTGGGAGAAACTGCTACGTGTACATGGAAATTGGGGCGCACAAAAAAAAAACCCTCTCTGTAGCTTAGGCTATTTGACTACTCGTCTTTTTCAAAAAAAAATTGTGCAAATATAAAAAACGAAAAGTTATGCTTAAAGTATTTTGGATAATAAAATAAGTTAAAAATAATAATAATTTCAAAATTTTTTGAATTAGACGAATGGTCAAACAGTACAAGTAAAATGTCAAAATCCCTTATATTAGGAGACGTACAAAGTAACAAACAATCCCTAATCCCTACATATACATAGGATCGAATAAAGCATTACATAATACAATGTCACATTCAGTTCTAGATCTTATATTATAAGATGATGCAGGGAATATTATATGTCGATGACAGTATGACACTAACAGACTTACAACTAGTTATATGGGTCTTACTGATAAGTAATTCAATTGGAAACGTATATCTCAGAAAAAATTTTCATACCATTATATTGCTTTTAGATTGGTGCTTTACTCTCAACAATAACCTTTACTCTTCTCCTACCTCCTAGTCGTAGTCACTACATCACACTAGAGGGCATGAGTCAAACGACCAAAAAATTGTCTTGCCATCTCCGCTGCGCCACCACCGGCCGAAAGGCATCAACACTCAACAAAGCTGACGAAGCTGGCCGCCTCCTCCCTTCTCCACCACCTACCCCCTCCCTAAGCTAACTGTGGCGAGGTGCCCCCGTCCCGCATTCTTCTTCGTCTTTAACGGTTCCCTTCTGCTGGATCACCATCACAAAACACCGCGTTCAAACTAGAAGCATTGCTTTGGCCCTGCCACCCACACTATCCTAGCCCCTCCCCCTGGCCGCGCACACACACACCTCTAGCGCCTCGCCACCCACCGGCATGTCATGTCATTGTCTCCTAGGCCATCCTTCTAAGCCCGACAATCTTCCTTCCCTCCTCGTCTCACCTTTATCCTAACCCAGAACTTTAAACCATAACTTGTCGCTCTGTCATTGATTGTCGGAGCTCGCCTCAGCTAGAGGATGAGCTGGGTTCATTGAAGCATGAATCGTGAATCAAATGCTAAGATTAAAAATGTGTAAGATTTTGGTCTAATTTCTTTTAACAGCCGTTTAACAAGACTTTTCTCTTCTATCATACGACTTAAAAATTTCGTCGAAAATGTCTTAGTTAACTCACCGGTGACCACCATTACACCAGCAAGCATGAAGTGTTGGTAACCTCCTCACAAGCGTGCATAGCAATATCCTAATTCATGTCTCCTCTCTCTCCGACGTGACCATCGATCGACCAAAAGCAGGGTGTGTATCGACAAGTCCAAAAAAAAGAGCATTTGAACGTGACTGACACTTAGGCACTTATTAGCAAAGACAAGCAGTAGCGATATTTACTTAACTAACGACAGTACAGTAGTTCTCTGCCATTTAGCAAGAACCGACGGTTGGTGCTCGGTTGCTGTGTAGTCCCTCCGTCCAAAAATAAATCAACTTTTACCATTCAAACTTTTTTCAAAATAAATCAACTTCTACCTTCTTATCTACTCTCGGTTCGTAAATTAAAAATTTTTATTCCTTCAATACCCCTTACATATCTACCCACCAATACTAATTTACTAATAATAAGGGGTAGTTTGGATATTTATCCTCTCCTTTAGTGTTGCACTCGGATGTTAGGAATTGCCTCTACGTGGGACAGAGGTAGTACGCACTTCATTTTAGCAAGGACCCACGATTTGTATATTCTCTGGAGAAAAGGATATTTTCCCTGGATGCGTCGCTTTTGGTAATTGCAGAATTGTTGGGAAAAGAGTACAGTGACAGCAGTAAAAGCAGCCAGGCAGACTTCAGGTCTTTGGATTCGTCTGCAGTCGACGTGTCACTGCACTTACAGATAGTCTGTAATATCTTCGGTCACTATCCATTGAGTCCATTCCATTGAACGGATTGTTAGCTTAACTGGAAGGAGTCCAAACCGGGTAGACGGACAAGGGCCGGGTAGGGGAAGATGAAAGGGCTGTTTGATTGAGTACTTTAAATTACTTAATATTTTTTTATTTTTTAAGAAAGATATATTTTACACCTCTACATCCAACCCAATCCAAAATTCGCTATTTAAGATTTAAACTTAAAATCTTTGGGTGCTACTTAGATCACTGTAACCACTAAAGTATTACATGTCCTTTTACTTGTCATGATTCTTTTAAGCTAACTTATCAAAGATGTGGTTAATCTTACCTAGTGAAAAGTAAATTTCAAAATGCTATTAGGATGAGCCACATCATCAGATAAACAATAACCATTGAATCGAGAAAAAGACAAAATAGAGAGAAGCTAAAGAGTTCAGCCATTGATTATAGAGGGAAAAAAAGACGATGAACTACCGAAGCATTCCAGCAATTCAGAAATGAGAGAGAGAAAGAGCAAACAAGAAAAGTAGCTTTGTAAGAGAGTGGGGGCGTTGGCTGGCGTATGGCATGTGATATAATTTTGCACTATACGCACTCAGTAAAAATTATTTTACAAATAATCATTCAAAATTATTTATATTATATGTATATACAATCCTTACAACCGACTAATTCCAAATTACTACTGTAACTTTAATGTCACAAAATTTATTATCACATAAACATATCAATAAATTTTTCTATGATTTTAATGTTTTACTTTGGTTCACCTCTTTAGTGTAAAAGTTAATAGGTTGGCCTTAAGAGTGAGTGTTTCATCTACCTATATGCCCTATATGCTTGCAGGTCATGGCTGATCAATTACACTTCTCCCAAGCACATACTTAACAGAATAAAACATTGTTTACTGATGCCAATTTAAATTACATGCTCATATATATATATATATATATATATATATATATATATATATATATATATATATATATATACACACACACACACATATAACACAATGGTTAAAGTCGTGCAAACGTGCGATATCATAGGCTAGTAAAATTGAAACCACATTTTAGCTAACATGAGTCACTCTTGCCACACTTTTTTTATATCGATAAAATGTAGGATCTACATGGTAGAGAATAAGAGAGGAAATCTTGTCACAAGATTGGCTAAGAACCAAACAGCCATCTAAGTCAGTCAAATTTGTATAACTTAAGGCGTGACAACTTAAACAAGTAATAGGAACCAACCAAACAACCATGTAGAACTACAACAATTTATGGTATTTACAGAGTTAAGGATTCCATCAGAGAGATGGTTAGGTCAGCAGTATCGTCGAGCTTGGACAACAAAGAGTGTTTCTTAATTATCATTAACTTCTCATGCCAACGGCTTCAAATTGAATTCGATAAAAGAAAATACAGGTGATTGGGAACCCCACATTGATGTAATGATGTTTGTAGTACGCAGTTGTCTGGAGCGGAAACTGAAAACATATTTCATTATTGTTGAATTAAAATAGGTACATGAGCAGCTCATCAGCAATAATAGTATTTTGTCTGCTTTGAGCCAGGGGATAAGATGGAAATAATGGAGGGACCAGTCTCAAAACGTTAGCAACCTCCTCTTCACTGGCATGGCTGCCGACAGATGCAGTCCTGCTGCTCTCTGATTTACAGAAATCTTCTCGAAAATGGTATGAAATTAGCTGCTGCTCCCGGTGATTTCATTGTAGGTGCTCTTGATTTTGCTCACCAGAGCTTCCCTGCAAATCCATTAGAGTGCCAAACATGATAAGAATATGAAAGGCTAATAGTAATTTTATATACGAGAACAAAAGGATATTTGAGGCATAACCTTATCCAAGGTTACCAAATTATGAACATTTGTTACTAATTGAAGTGTATTTACATGTTGTCTAGTTCTCAAGCCAGTATTAATGGATATTATTGAATAAAACATTGAGCTTGGACTTGAGCCATCACTTCTAAATATTTGGTCTCAATTCGAAAAGCTCAACCAAATCTTGTCTTAAAAGTCAAATATTCGAAGCCATAGATAGAACCATGTATCTCCTCATTTCTTTAACATAAGGTTTTTTTTAATTAGCAGGGTTCAACTTCCAATCTAAGTCAATTGAGTATATTGATTTATCAATAAGGACTAAAAATCACACATAACACATATTCCAACGGTTACCAAGTATTTCAGTCTTAACGAAATCATTGTCATTCATACGGATTGCAAAACAGAACTCCTCTCCACAATGTTTATACATGTAAAATTCTACGAGTTTAAACCAGAGAAATTGTCAGTTCTGTAACAACGGTGCAGTATCATGTTACTGTAGAACCGGATGTGAAGAGCAAAAATTAAAACAGGATGTCTAACCTGTCTGGCTGGAAGATGAGGTTCCGGTATGTAAACCACTGCATGAACACAAAGCAGCAGTTAATTGGAGCTCGTAAGAGAAGCAATCTTACACTACCTCACTCTCTATGTGACAACGAAATTTGCAACTGAATGCCTATAACTTACCCCTGTATACCCGATTCCAACGAGCTCAAGCACGCCGGGCAAAAGTGGAAGCCTGTCGATGGCCTAATCCGATATGCAGATTACCAAGAAAATGAAATTAAGCATCATATCTGAACTTGAAGGAGCAAGAGATCATATGCATGGAAGCATATGTGTCGCGTCGTATACCTTGATGGCGCCTATGGCAGTCCAGAGGCCGACGAGCGCGGCGACGCCGATGGCGGTGACGGCGTACTTGTCCTCAACTTTGGCCCACTGCCTAGACACAACGGTGGTCACAGTTACGCACATTGCACAGGAATGGCCTCACAACTAACTGAAGCAGAAACTGAGACTGAAATGATGATGCAGAAGCAGCAGCTAGCAGCAGCAGCAGAAGATAAGGATTGCATGCTGACCGCGTCCTGGGCTGCCTTGACGACCTCCGGCACCTCCGTCTCGCTGCCGGTGCCGTCGGCCGCCCTGATCGCCACGCCCCTCGACGCCCTGAGACCTACTGACATGGAGAGCCAATGATTCAGTTTTTGCGAATAAAACACGAGAAAGCGAGCCAACGATTCGGTGCGAGGTCTCACCGTACTTGATGCCGGTGGCGGCGACGGCAAAGGCGACCGTGGTGGGGCGGCGAGGCAGCGGTGCGAGGACGAGCGGCGCGGCGGCGAGGCGGCAGGTGGTGGCGGCCATGGTGGGGTGACCGAGCGGGTGGCGCGGCGGTGGACGCGTGATCGATCGGTGATCTGTTTGTCTGTCCTGTGATGTGGTGGTGCGACGCGGGCGCGGGGGCGAGGATTTTGGGTTGGATTTGGGCGCGGCGGAGACCACACGTTGCGCCACCGGGAATCCCGCTACGGATAGGTGCCAACTGTAGTTCCAATCGCGATAGGTTCTGTGGCCCACGAGCCCACAAAGCTTGGAGCAGAGTGGCCGGGACAAAATAGTGGCTGTGCAAGGTTCGTCCTCCCATCACAAATTAAGTAGTTTCGGACATTGACGCAGTCTTTGAAAATACAACTTATGTGTTAGCCACAATCAATATTAACTGATGACACCCGCGTTTTGTTGCAAAATATAGGAATGATTATATGTTAGATGTGGTAGAAATGATGGATGGATTTGGGTTAGAATATTGTGAAAATGGTGTGGGGACGATGATTTTGCTGGCATGTGTGTATATTGAATTTTAGAATGTGATAAATTGTTGATGTTAGTAATTTTTATGATTGCATGTTATGTTTTTGATGCTTAGTAGATTGATGTGGTATACTTTTCCATTTAAGCTTTAGAAAGCACTAATAATTACTACCTCTATCCCAGAATATAATAAGTTTTATAGTAGGTAGAAGTGAATGGTGTAGGGTTGTCATTGGATGAGTAGTAAAGGTAGGTAGGAAAAGTGAATGGTGCATGGTTGTGATTGGTTGGAAAGAGAATGCTAGTAGAGAAGTTGTTATATTTTGGGACAAATTCTGAGTGCTAAATGTTTTTATATTTTAGAACTGAAGGAGTATTATGCTTTTGTATTGTCGTCGTCCAAAAATTCACTCGTCAAGTGACAATCTTCTATCTTGGTGCAGGAGCTCTACGTTTTGAATGCTTACTAGATTGGTATACTTTTACAAATTAAGCTTTAGAAAGCACTAATAATTGTTATGCTTTTATATTGTCGTTGTACGCAAAAATTCATCGAATTAAATAATACTAAAATTATTTGGCATCATTCTCTTATGCAAATAATATTTTCTTGGGCCCATATAAGGCTCAATGACATGTGGACCAAAAGTATAAGTAATAAATGATGTCAATGTACATACAATATTGGGCTCATTTTTGTCATTTCGCCGAGTCGAGTCTTGTTGCTTCGCACATGAACCCTACAATATTGACATAATTCGCCTACTTGATATCTCAATTCTATCATTTGTTTGTTCATAGAAAAAATAATAAATCATTGGGCACTAATTTGCAGCCCAATTTTACAAAATAGATGTGAAGCGTGTCTTTACGACGTTTAGGCACGGAAAATTCAAATATCATACGATAATATAATCAATATTAGACTCGTTTCGCTGCATATTTTGAATAGAAAATAATGGTGCAAATGGATTTCGACTTTAATACATGGTTTGAAGATTTGAGCTGTTCAAACAAAGGAGATTGACTAGTACTAGGTATAGATTACATTGATTTGTTGGTAGCGATCACAGATGCAGTTCCAACTAAATTAAAGGTGGGGCCACTGTCATTAGTAGAGATAATTTCATGATTATCTCCGGACTCCGGTACGCGTGGTTGGTTTTACTTTTATCTCCAGCACGTCGATGGATTAGCTTATCTGTGCGTCGGTTTATCAGGAGAATTAATGCGTGATCTCATCATCCCGAGTGCTGGAAACTCGGAGAGTCGGAGGTGGTAGATTAGGAAATCCAGAAGACCAAAGCCCGCCGGCGCTAGCAACAGGGAGGTAGCAACAGTAGCAAGCCTGCGCCGCCGCGAAGAAAATAATTAAACACCGCACCCAGCGTCCTTTGTCAAGCCGCTTCATCATCGACAACATGCCGTTGGCCAAGACATTTGCGCTGGAGCACATTAATTTCCTAGATTAAACATAGTAGATGTCACTACTAGAAAAGCAATATCGCAAGCGGCCAAAAAGGGTCTTCGCAGGCGGGGCGGATGTCCGCTTGTAAGCCAACGACTGTGACGATCGCCGATCTTCACAGGCGGGGTGGCCGTCCACCTGCGAAGATAATTTTCGCAGGCGAACGTTGGCTAGTCCGGTCCGCCTACGAAAATAGGAACCGGCCGCCTGCAAAAAAAAAAAATTCCGCCTACGAAGATAGGTAGAAAATATTAAAATTTAATAATAATTTGCCCGTAAATTACTTTTAAATTATTTAATAGAAATTCTTGCAGGTAGATTATTATATACATATATTGGAAGATTATCAAGCATTTGGTACTGATAAATGTACATATATTACATAACTCAAAAGTGTTGCCAATATATATATATATATATATATATATATATTACAATATTTTTTTTACATTGTCACTTCAAATACGCCATCTAGTTAATACATTATGGCATAGCACTGTTCCACTCCCGAAGATCCTTGAATTCGTTACTTGTGGCTAAGGCACCCTCTGGGTCGAAGAAATCTACTTTCACATGACAGCACTCATGGTGGATGAAGTGGCACAGATCACGCTGGACATTTTTGATGCCTGTATCGTCAAAGCTTGTTCGATGTTCTAATCTTGGCAACTGCATGCATTGAAGATAAACAATATATTAGTATCATAAATATGTGAAGCTGTTTAGCACATAGTATAGAGACTTACATCCTCCGGGTTAGTCCTGTACCTCCCATTAACCCTTAGGAATTCGCACGCGTAAAACCCGCAAAGGACCGTTCCTCGCGGTTGCTTGTGACACTTCAGGACATATCATAAAAAAATAGTTAAAATTTGCAATTAGTGAAACAATTGGAATACATTAAGTGAGTGGAGTATTACCGGCCAATACGTACGTACTAGCAGCTTCTCCCTTGTTCGGGTCTGTTCTCCACCCTTGAACTTGTAGTATTGGTACACACTGTATGGATGTCGTACCGTTTCACATTAAGGAGGATATTTATTTATAATACATTCATATAAAAATGCAAGAGTCATAATCACTTACTACTGTAAGATTGTTAGAAATTCTTTGTATTGCTTGTGACTATAATCGAGAGGGTCCAAGACTACCACGGTTCCGTCTTCAGGGTGGATGAGTAAACAGATATAATGATCACTACATATTAACAACAGCATAGTTAGTTAGTACCAGCTAAAATAAGACACATGTGTACAAGATAAATGTGCCGGACTTACTTAAAATTATAAGCGGCCATGACGACTCTCTTATTTTGAAAGTGCAAGAAGGCTCGTCCAATGTACTGTGCGACAGTAATCAATTTCTCCTTGTGCAAGCCCTTCTTGTATTTAGCTATCTCTTTTGGATTCTTGCCCTTCAGCTGGTCAGACCCTGGTGCTAGCCTCATAGTATGCTGTGTTTGGCAAATCCGAGTTAGATCCAAGAAGCCGATAGGTTCTTTTTTCTTCTTAGCATCCATGTATTGCATCCTACAGAAGAAGTTTGTTAGTAACAATCACATGGATTTGTATTGTACATATTTTTCATATAATTAATTAAAACTCATACTCACATGCACCAAACACCGACATAGTTGACGTCCATCTTATCCCGATGATATATGGCATGGAGATCTAAGAAATATAGCCATATGTAACCTTCTTCGCCGAAACAGTCTGCCGGTGATCGAGCTGTTATATTGCCAAGCCTTTCTTGCTGGCCTCCATGTAGAAGGTATGTAACCTTTTCATCTCCCATGGTCCTTCGTTCAGTGCCCATTCAAGCAAGAGTGCTTTCCCATGTTCGTACTTTTCCGGGCAATCATGAGTTGTGAAGTATGTTGGCCCGGCTAGTTCAGCGGCCTTCTGGGGGTCATCATCTCTGAGCTTGGCACGTTCCTTATCCCCTTTGAAGACGGTTACCATGAACTTCTCCTTGTTCTCATCTTTGGACTTGGAGTCGTGGCTCCTAAGCACTCTAGGCACCTCAGAACCGTGATCTCTTGCACCTCGGGGTCTTTCGCAGGAGAAGGGTCTTCAAATATTTCTGGTTCTGTACCGTTCCATTCCAATCCTGGTACTTCTTCTATTTCTGTCTCGACTGATGCCACACCTCTGGTTCTGCCACTTTAATCTCCATTTAGACATCCAGCACTACAATCTCCATGGGCACCTCCGGCACTTCAATCTCCGGTGGCACTTCCGGCACTGGATTTTCCTTATGCATCTCGGGTTCCTCCGCTTTATCAGTCACCTTCTTCTTAGGAGGTCTCGGAGGTTTTCCCAACCCCGGTTTTGGCACTACAGGTTTTCGCGTGGCGTCGGTGCCCAATCCAAAGGATATGTCATTCTTGTGCCAGAGAATTACAAGATCGACCACATCCCCAAGTACGGATACACCATCTGCAGTAGGGAAGTCAATGTCATAGGACTCAAACCCTTCGTGGACCACTTGCGGCTGCACTTTGGCGTACGCATCGGGTATGAACTCTTCATTATATGTTCTCCCAAGGATAGCAATGGCTGTAGCGGCCTCAAGAGTTTTCCCGAAGCGTCCAATGGGAACGTGCAATCTGCAGGGTGTATTCTCCTTGAGGTCATCAAAGGGGTAATCTGGCTCAGGTTCTTTGGTTTCGGGGCGAGGCAAAATCATTTGCTTAACGCAGAAATCCATTATTTGCCTTTCAAAATCCACAACCCCTTCGTCTCTAAGTTTATCCTTGTACGCTTCACGCTTCTTGTGGGGGTCATGTTTGAACCCTTCCTTCCAACTCATCTTGCTCGACACACCTCGAACCCTACCCCCATGCTCAGGAGTACCCAGCGCCGTACTTAGCACATCTTTCTCCCTCTTAGGCTTGAAAAATCCTTTCTTCGGTGAACTGGAAAAATTCTCTATTTAATCGGCAACGCCCTGCAGCTCCGGATCTTCAAACGATACTTTGCCTTCATCCGTGATCTTCGGAGTTCTAGCTCTTACCCAGTTCCTTGATCTATGTGTCCATTCTTCCATTGGTACCGGTTGCCCCATCTTCCTCATTTCCTCCTCATCTTTTGTCCACTGCTCCACCTTTGGTGCGTATCCCGCGGAGCCTAAGCGATGAGGAAATTTGTTCTTCTTGGCCAACTCTGAATACTTTTGGCTCCTTTGAATTTCTTCCGGGGAGTTTTTCAACGTCAGAAAGTCGTCCCACTGATTCGGGGTTATGTTGGCATACGTCAAAAACGGTGTACGTCCCGTCTTTACAAATTTCTTGTTCAAAGTGGTTTTCCAACCACGCCAAGACTTGGCCATTGTTTGCAGTGCACAATTCCTCACTGCTGCCTCTGATCCATCCGGGAACTGGAAGATTTTCTTCAACTCTTTCCATAGGACTTCCTTATCCCCGTTCGATACATGATCCCAGTCCTTGACCGTGATGGGGATCTTTTCCCTTACTATTATGCCACACTGTGAACTGAATTTCGCACGTGCCGTCTTAGGGGCGAGCGGCTCTCCTTTTGGCGAAACATGGGTAACAACATGGAACCCTTCATCCTTTTTATTCACGCTTCTCTCGCCCTTCCTTTTCTTCGCCTTTGCTGACCGTTCGCTTTTGTTTGAGCCGGTTGTGTTAGTTGGTGCCTCGTCGTCTTTCGACGGAACTTTTTTCTTCGGCTGCCGTTTTGATTGCCGTGGTGCCGTTTCCTACGAGAAGGTATATATGAAAGTTTCGAATTAGCTCGGGCTAATAGTTATCACGGTGAACAGTTTACATATTAAGTTTACTTACCCCTTCTTTAGGGGGAATGTAGTCCTTATCGCCTTCTGCACAGTCGCCCATTTTCCTTCTCTTCGGGCTTGGGCTTGGACAAGGATCATTTGGCGACGAGTACTCATCGTCTTCGTCAGCTACGTCGCTGTCGGAACTATCTTCCGGTGGGACCATTGGTTCCGGAGCAACCACAACAGCAAGGGACTGCTCTTGCTCCCCTAAACCCTTCTCTTCGATCCCTTTAGTACTATCGGCCATCGTTTCAAACTTCTAACATAACAAAAAAAATTGTATATTAAACTATGTATTAAAAACTTGTGTACATAATTGCACAAGGTTATAATAAAAACTTGTGTACATAATTGCACAAGGTTATAATAAAAACTTGTGTAAACCATTGTGTACTAAAATTAGTACAAACTAATTTGCTAAATTGGTACAAACAAATTTGATAAATTAGTACAAACTAAAATTAGTTTGTACTAATTTGCTAAAAAATTAATAAGGCGACCATATCCTCTACATGTTATTAAAAAAAATTGAACATACCCTCCCAATTTCATTCACATATCACCCACAGTCCCACATTCATATTCACAATCAAAACATTTACATATCACCCACCCCTCATTCCCATTCACACCCACATGCACACACATATAAACCCCCACACAGCCACATGCACACACATATAAAAAGCAAGCACCCACATGCACACACGTCCGTGGACGACGAACGGCCGACGACGAGGTTCGACCGTGGACGACGACCGGCCGAAGACGTCGTTCGGCCAAGGACGAGTTCGCTCGTGGACGACGACCGGCCGAAGAAGCCGTTCGGCCGCGATACCGCGATTGAGAGAGAGAGAGAGGGGCAGCGTTGGAGTGGCTGGCGGTGGTGGAGCGGGCTGGCGGCCGGCGCGAGGTGGTGGAGCGGCCGGTGGCGGTGGAGCTCGCGGGCGGAGCTCGGTGGTGGAGCGGCCGGTGGCGGTGGAGCTCGGCCCGTGACTATGGAGCTCGGCGGTGGAGCAGCCGGTGGCGGTGGTGGGCCGGTGGAGCGGCCGGCGCGAGCTCGACGGTCGGCGCGTGGCGCGCGGAGGACGACGGTCGGCCGCGGCGGAGGATGGCGGTCGGAGGGCGATGGTCGCAGGCGGGCGGCGGCGGAGGACGGCGGCGGCGTGGGACGGCGAAAAAATTCGACAGCCTGACGGCGCCAAAATTTCTAGGGTTCCCGCCTGGACTTAGAAATTTTGGCGCTGCGGGCTTGCCCTTATATAGGACAACGATCTTCGCAAGCGGGCCGTCCGCTTGCGAAGATCGTTTTTACTATCTTCGCAGGCGGACGGTCCGCCTGCAAAGATGTAAACCGCACTCGGCATAACAATCTTCACAACCGCCTGCAAAGATGTAAACCGCACTCGGCATAACAATCTTCACAAGCGGTCCGTCCGCCTACGAAGATTGTTACAGAGGTGAATATACATTATTTCAAAATCTTTTTAAAATTATTTTTGTAATTTGAAAATGTCTACAATAGTTTTAATAAAAATGGTTATTGTACATACAACCATACTTTTCAAATGTAAATCTTACTTAAATGTACATAGTACTTAAAATTTTTTAACAAATTTTGAAACAATGGTAAGTGCACATAAAAAATTGCTACTAAATTTTGAAACCTCTTTTAAAAAAACTTTTAAAATATAAAAATCTGTAAATGTTACACTACAAATGGTAATTGCACATAAACTAATTGATCTTGAGTACAATTGTTCGTCATTTTGCGATATGATCACACATCACCTTACATACCACCATTACATAACTACTAACTTGTTAGATGCTTACATGCCACTCAACAATCATTACCCTTTAACATTTTTGCCCACACCGTCCGTGCGTATGTAAGGCTTCACGGTCTTCTGAGTAGATGTCTCGACATTCTTAATCTTCTGTACAAACTGACTATAAAGTGGCATACTATCGTATTGGTTATAATCTTTGACATCTTCAACCCCATCCACTCTCAATATATTTTGTTTCCCTGTAGCACTATATTTTTATCTTTAATAATACTTAAAAAATTCGTAGTGGTGATGGTGAAGGCAACATAGACGTGCGATCCAAATTAGAAACGTAGATCGACATGCTCCACCTCCGCAACGCAAAAAAAAAAAAAGAAAAAAAAAAGAAAGAAACGGCACACGCTACTCCTCCGCGACGCGAAAAAAAAAGAAACGGCGCCTCCTCTTCTCACTCGTCACCCGACACCGCAGACTTCTCCCTCTCCGCCGTCGTCGTATCCCGCCTCCTTCACACCATCGCCGCCCCTCAATCCATCCTCGCGCCTCCCTCGACCGCCGCCGCACCGATCCGATCTCTCTCGCGCTTCTCCCCCGCCGCCGCCGCTCCAGATCCCCCCGCTTTTCCTCCTCCTTCCGCCCACCTGCCATCGACGCCACTGCCCCTGCTGCTGACTCCACCTCCTCCCCGCCGCCGACGCCTAGCGCCGCTGCTGCCCACCCGCAACCGCCATTGCCCAACCGCAACCGCCGTTGCCGCCCCAGATACCCCGCCTTTCCTCCTTCCGCCCACCTGCCACCGACGCCGCCGCCCCTGGCAGTGACTCCTCCCCGACGCCGACGCCACCGCCGCCGACGCCTACTGCAACCGACGCCGAATCCCCCGCCGCCAACGCCACCGCCACCGCCGTCGACGCCTACTCCTTTGGCAGTGTGGAGGACTGCTGCTTCCCTGTCCCCATCTAGTGTGTGCACGCTTTGTGTTTGTTAAAATGCATATGTGAAAAAACTGTGGGTATAAAATGATATGCTGCAGATTATCTTTTCCTGTTATAGGTTCATCAATAATGGTTTCCCTAATTCAACTTTCAGATTGCTGAATCTTATGGTCTAGATTGATAGCTGATGCATTGGGGTGATCATACAAATGATTTCCGTTGGTAATCATTTTTCCCTACCTTACCATGGAATCTCTACTCCTCACTGAAGCTTGAAATGCTAGCTCCTCAGGGCTCAGGTGCGCTGGAGCATGCAGTTTGACAACAAGTACATTGCTTTGTGTCTATGCTTCCCTACTGCTCAATGAAATGATTGGCTGGGTTAGCTCCTGTACTTAAATCGGTTTCATTCCTATGCAACAATTAAGCACAAAATATAACATAGTTGGGGGGTTCATGATGTTTCAGAAACTTGGATGTATTCTGTGTATATTAATATTTAGGATGTGAGAATGAAATTTCTCCCTTTCATGTCTTCATGGAGGACAATAATGGTAACCACAGTTTTTTCACATATGCAACAATCAAGCACAAAATAAAACATAGTTGGGGAGTTCATGATGTTTCAGAAACTTGGATGTATTCGGTGTATATTAATATTTAGGATGTGAGACAATGAAATTTCTCCCTTTCATGTCTTCATGGAGGACAATAATGGTAACAACAGTTCTTTTCACATATCCAACAATCATGCACAAAATATAACATAGTTGGGGAGTTCATGATGTTTTCAGAAACTTGGATGTATTCGGTGTATATTAATATTTTGGATGTGAGACAACGAAATTTCTCCCTTTCATGTCTTCATGGAGGACAATAATGGTACCTTAATCTATGGCATCATGGTTCCAAATTGTGTTCAAGTTGGGTAAGTTTTTTTTTTTTTTGTGGCAACTACCCTTCAGAATTGTGGAACATAATACTAAGGTCAAAATTAAAAATCGGTGCATGAGGTGTGGGTTAAGGAGATTATAAAATCAAGATGAGGGTCTTTGCTAGATATAAGTTCACATAGAAAACCAGGATTAGCTTAATTTTCTACTTGGACTGAACTTGTAGTAGAACCAAATTTCAGAAGGAGCCTGTCCTGAGCACAACACTGTGCTTTAAATCTAATGCAAGAGATTTATATAAGCTGTGGGACAACGATTTGTATTCCAGGATGGAGGTTCAATATTTTCCTTCTAAATAGAAGCAGAGAGTTGGCATCTTGTGCAGAATGTTTCCTCATTTGTTCTCCTTTTGACAAGTAAAATGCATCAATGATAATCTGTGGGTGGAAATTAGCATCACATGCTTCATTCGTCCATCACCTAAAAAGATTCTCATATAATCTGATATTGGTTTCTGTAGGTGAATGTTTAGTTGTTTAAACATTGCTTTATTACTGCCAATTAAACTCGCCCTTTTTTCTCTTTAGTTGCTTCCCTGTTTGTGATCAAATCAACGGTTTATCTATGCTTTGTACTCAGCTTTGTTAGGTAGTATCAGATTAGAGAGCACTGAATAATTAACTATTTTTTATCTTCTACTGACAGCTACCAAGTGAAAGGATAGTTCAACTACCCTGGTGTCCATGTTGAGTATGACCAACATCGGCATCCTTTACATAGTTGTCAAGTGCTTTTTTTTTGATAAAACTGATTATATGACATATATATCCTCCCTGGGTTCTGTTTTTTCCCCTTGAATCTTTTTTTGTTACAAATCTGGGCAATCCAGTAGGCATTAGCGAAGACAGTCATCATTACCTATGATAAACATCTGATGCTATCTAAACAATCAAGTTAATAGCTCCCAACTAATAGAACTTGAAAAGGAGGATTAATGATTGTTACTTGCAGCTGCTGGAACCTAGAATGGTCTACTTCATTGTCAGGGAGTAGAAGGTGGTGGAGTTGTCTCGGAGGCACTCCCTCAAGGCTGCTGAGGCCACCCCGTTCAAGAGACTGAATGTGAATATACTCTTGAGAAATTTGCAGTAAATTGGCAGTAATGGCACCAAGGATCAAAGAAAATACTACCATTTTTTTTGCTGAGTCCAAGTTATGGTTTAGCACTGGAGACACATTATTAATTTTCTTCTTGCAATATGTATTCAGCGTGTGGGTTGATAATTTAGAGAGCTCTAAAACGATAGCGGAAAATCAAACAAAAATCTTACTAGGCGCAAGTGCTAAATAATGACAGGTATTTCCAAAGAGATGCAAGATTGGTCTAAATGGGTTGAGGCAAAGTCATGTTTCTAGGGACATGCAAAATTGCAATTGATGCATACTTTTTTCCCTTACAACAAAATTGTGACAAAATTATTGTTTGTGCTTTATTAAGGTTTTTGTTACAATAAACTTATACGCAATGATTACTTAACATATTTTCACCTGGTGTGATTTGAAATTAATAGATATCTTTTTCCCCGTTACAACGCACGGGCACCTAACTAGTCTTTCTTCAAATTTGAAGGGTCTTTCACATAAAACACTTGTACCACGTGATTGGCGAGTACCCAAGGGTCATCCTTGTGACCCACACTCGCAAGGTCAACAACAGTAAGACCAAACTTATCAACATTGATCCTGTTCGGGTATTTTACCCACTGGCACTTAAATATGGGGAATTGCATTGTGTGTCCATAGTTGATTTCCCATATTTCTTCAATATGGTCCGCGTAGGCGCCGCTTATATGCTCCGCCTGCAAAGATCGATCTTCGCAGGCAGACCGCCCCCTCCACCCCGGGTACATTTTTTGCCAGCGGGGTTTTAGCTCCGAATTACATGCACACCTGCGAAAATCGAACCCCTATGACGCCGAAAATGAGTTTTCTAGTAGTGGCGGCTCTCATTAGTGATCGGAATGTCTACGTGTTTTTAATCTATCTCGATGATTAGAGTCAGATCGATGAGTATCATCGGACTGCATCGGTAACTTCATTGCTAGATGCCGGAAATTAGCGGACTACATCGATATCTAGTCAGCATACCTTTCTATTAATCATTTCTTGAAAAGCCAAAAGGTGAACTTCTTTTCTGCGTGTATTTGTAAGCATTCATGTTAATTTATGTTAACATAGCAGAAACGAGAAACCCTAGTGCACTTCTGTCTGCATGAAGAGAAGATATGGAAATCGATCTCCAGGTAGCTTAGATGTGTGCGCAGAGCAAAAATTCACTATAATTTTGGATCAGGCAACTAGGGAGCGGAGAAAAACTCTGGCCTGCTAGTTCACTCGGCTCGTGATGTGGCTCGGTTCGGATGTGCTTGAGTCGTTCACAATTGTTAACAAGCTGAGCCACGGTTGTAGGCTTGCAGCAATGTATAGGGGGAAAAATTGATGTATGTATAGGAGCTCACTGGCTATGCTCGTGAGCCAAATGAGCTGGAGGCCTGGACCATCCAATCCATCAACCCAGCCACGTCCAAGCAAGCCCATTAATCAGTTCATAGGCCATAGGAAAAAGTACACCGAAGGTCCCTCAACTTGTCATTGAGTTACAAAATCGTCCACCAACCGCAAAACCAGGTATCCATCGTCCATTAACTAACAAAAACCAGTCACAGTAAGTCCGTCGGTGGTTTTGACCCGGTTTTATCCTACGTGGCAGCTGAATCAGTGCGGGAGCCACGTGGGACCTACATGTCAGGCTGCCACATCAGCCAATTCTCTCTCTCTCTCTCCTTTCCCCTCTTTTCTCCCTTCCTCATCTCTCTCTCCCTTCTCAGACTTAGCCGGCGGGAGGAGGGCATCGGCGGCCGGCGACGGGTGACGCGGCGACGGTAGGGGAAGGAGCTGCTTGAGCATGGACTTCGTCGCCTGGCTGTTGGCCCCGACGGCGGCGGCCTTCCAGCCACTGTAGTAGGGTCGCTCATGTAGAGCTGGAAGCCATGGTGCTTGTCCCACCTGCCGAAGAGGAAGGAGACGCCGAAGGGGCGGAGGCCGCCGAATTGGGTGTACCCTTGCTTGGTGTGACAGAGGGATTGGATGAGCTGCTCGACGGGGATGGGCTCCTGGTAGGAGAGGATGTAGCGCTGGGCGTGGAGGCGGGCGGTGTTGAGGAGGATGTTGGCATCGGACATGATCCCGGCGACTGCGCAGGCGAGGTGGGAGTCAATCTTGTACATCTTCTCGGCGGAGCACGAGGTCTGGAGGAGCTTGGAGGTGACCTTCTTCTCACCGACGAGGACCACGCCATCGGCCGCCAGGACGCAGAGGGCCGACCCGGCGTTCCCGATCGCCTCCATCGCGTACTGCACCTGGTAGAGCCGCCCCTCCGGCGAGAAGATCGTCATGCGGCTGTCGTACCGACGAGACATCGCGGCGGCAGGTTGTTGCTGGGGATTCCAGGTGCGGAGGCTGCGACGGCGAGAGATCTACTACTACTAAGGCCATGTCACTCACCGCCATTCCGTCGCCGCCGTTCCTTTGCCTCATGGGCCTCGTGGGTGGCGGCCGGCGGGGGAGCCCGTTGACCGCTCCTCCCCCCGCCGCCCGCCCATGCGTTGCTCCTATGCCTCGTGAGCCTCGTGGGCGGTGGCCGGCGGAGGAGCCTGCGCGCCGCTCCTTCCCCCGCCACCCGCGCGCCGCCCCTCCCAATCACCGCCATCGCGTCGCCTGTTGCTGGCCGCCGCCGCCGCCCTCCTCCTCCCACCGGCTGAGTCAGAGAAGGGAGAGAGAGAGATGAGGAAGGGAGAGAAGAGGTGAAAAGAGTGAGAGGGGAGGCTGGTGTGGCAGCTTGACATGTGGGGCCCATGTGGGTCTCACGCTGACTCAGTCGCCACGTAGGACAAAACCGGGGTCAAAACCACCTAAGGACCTATTGTCACCGGTTTTGGTTAGTTGAGTGATGCTGGATACCTGGTTTTGCGGTTGGGGAACGATTTTTAAAATCGATGATAAGTCGAGGGACCTTCGGTGTACTTTTTCCTAGGCCATATAAGTCCCACACCAACACAGTAAAGCCGTACATCTCCCTCAGGCCACAAAATTCTAGTGGAGGGGTTGGATTAATATGATTATTTTAATAAATTTTTTTAACATAACTTTCATATTAAAAAGTTTTTGCATAAATCATATCGTTTAGCAGTTTGAAAAATATGCGCGTGGAAAGGAGAGAGATGGGTTAGAAAAATGGGAGAAGAACACAGCCTAAGCCGGAACCACAACACAACGGCGACGCAGCCACATGCACATCAGCTCATAGTGGTCGACCAAGCAGTAGTCGCGCACTCGCGCTTGAGCATGCAATGCGGCGATGTGCAGCGTCGGCGCTCCACACGCCGCCTAGCTAGTGCCTCCCCCCTCTAGTCTCTCCGGTTGTGCGTGTGCAACGCCGCCGCCTACTGTTGTCCCCTTCTCGATCTCTCCTTCCAGTCATAAGCCGCCATCCTTCGTCCGGGTCGTGTGAGCATTGGAGGGCTCGACGAGTAAGATGGCGATGCCGGGGCATTGGAGTATGAGGAGCGAGCACATACGCTACTGCCGTCATGTTATTAATGTGCTAGCTCGCAAGCTAAACAAGCTGGTAAGCAAGTCGAGCCAAGCTATGTTTCTTTAGGATAACAAATCAAATTAAAGCCAGATCAGGTCGAGCCAGCTTGATATCCATCCGTATTGTAGACTATGTGCATAGATTTTTTCTCCTTCGCGCTGGTCCTACTAATAAAAAATGTTTTTTACATGTGGCTATCTTCAATTTTCGCAGGCACGGCTCCACTCGCCTGCAACTACGTGTATTAAAAATGAAGATTTCCACATGCGGGCACCACGCCCTCATGCAAAAATTGTTTTTAGCAGGCAGGCATGTTAAGCCGCCAACCTGCACTAGAATTTTGTCAAAAAATAAAATAAAATTCTGAAAAATTGTGAAACCCTAGCCCGCATGCCTGCCACCGCCGCACCGCATCCCCAAAACTGTAACCCGCATCCTGAGGTCGTCGGTGGTGGAGGAGGACCCGAGGCGCGACAAGGCGGAGCACAGGCACCCGTCGATCGACACGCTCATCACCATCGGCCGCTCCCGAGACCAGTCCCGCCGGATCTGCCCTCGCACAGCTTGCCACGGTCTTCGTCGTCGCCCTAGCCATTGGTGCCATTGTCATCATCGTTGTCGTCGTCGCTGAGGCCCGCAGAGGGGGATCCGCTAGTCTCGAGTCTAGCGCCGCCAGATCTGCCCTCACGCAGCTTGCTGCCATTGTCGTCGCCACCCTAGCCACCGTTGTCATTGTTGTCATCATCGCCGAGGTCTGTGGAGTTGGATCCGCCGCTCTCGAGGCCAGCACCACTAGATCCACCCCTCTTGGGGCCGGGGCCAGGGATCCGCCACCGTGCGGCTTGCCGCCAACGTTGTCATCACCTCATTAGCTAGTGCTAGATCCACCTGTCGCAGGGCAGCTCCCGTCGCCATGGCTGCGGTGGAGGTAGGGGAGGAGGGGACGGGGGAGAAGGGGGTGAGGAGTGGAGTGGGGAGAGATATTTTAAGAGATGAGAAAATAAAAGAGAGGAAGCGGATGGGGCAGCCGGCTGGGTGCCAGGCAGACCTCTTAATATGTTCGCCTGTGAAAATAAACCTATTTTCACAGGTGGGTCTATTAAGAGGTCCGTTGGCCTTATCTTCCTCCTGGGGCAAAATTATCATAGGCAGACAATGTTATAACCCACCTGCAAGTTAGAGGGGGTTCGCCCAAAAAAATCATTTATGTAATAGAGCCTGGAGATCCGACATCATTTCAGGTTAGCTGCACCAAGCAGATATTGGTTTTTGTCCCACATTGAAAAATTATGATGAAAGAGCACGATTTAAAATGTTAGGGCTATCATCACTCATCAGACTATATTTTATGTTGTGTAGATCCATCACCTAAAGTTATGGCTCTAGTTGAGTCTAAGGTGGAGCAAGCCTAAGGTTGGTGGGTAGGACTGTGCGCTCTAATTACATGTATTAAAGCATAGGTTTGCACTCTAATAAGCCCTGGATTTTTCACATTTTGGTTCTTTTGAAAAACTTATTTCGCAAATAGACCCCTAGAAAAACTTATTCCAGAAATGGTCCTTTTTGGGGCGTTAGAGTGGCTGGCGCCGTCGTTCAACGGGACGGCGCCAGCCGCCGACCTCCTGCCACTGTGGCACACTCGAACCGACGTGGTAGGAGGAGGGCGCCTGTATGGCTGGCGCCGCCCCAGGGAGGAGGGCGCGTCATCCCCCAACCCACCCCTCGCCTCTATTCCTGTTTCTCTGTATGAAGTTGCAACGGTGTCATTTTTGTTTTATTTTTTGAATGTTTTTTCACACTTAGGATCACGATACAACCAACCACAAAAAAAATTTAAACTCGAACTACCACTTAGCTAAGTCTGAATATAGCTAGCATACCACTTAGCCTAATTTGCACCTTCACCAAAATTAGACCATAACTCCTTTAGTAAAACCCTTTGATCAGCATGTTAAACATAATGCACTCTACCACTATATGAAATTACTTAATCTAATTCAAAATATAACCACATGAAATGATAGCTATAAGTTTATAAGTTAAACAGTACAGAGAGATGCAATTTTTTTATTTTTATTTTATTTTTTTGATATTTTTTTCATACTTAGGAGAACATAGAAACCAACCATAGAAAAAATAAACTCAAACGGACAAAATATGTGACATGTAGAATTTTCCAAAGCTCTAGCGAAACGGACAAAATATATCATTTATTAAAATAGGCGTAACTTTCTCATACGGACTCAGAATCAGACAAATAATATATCCACGGATATCTACAGAAAAAGTTACATCCGATTCTTCCTGGCTTAGCCAATATTAAAACCTCCAAATTCAGCTTTCAAGATTGTGTTTTCGAGGAGAGAAGTTTTTTGGTAGAGCTTTGGAAAATTCCACAGACCACATATTTTGTCCGTTTGGGTTTATTTTTTAAATGATTGGTTCTTTTGAGTTCCTGAGTGTGAAAAAAATATCAAAAAAATAAAATAAAAATAAAAAAGTTGCACATCTCTCTCCTCTGCACTAGTTCGGAGAGAGAGGAGAGAAGAGGAAAAATTCTACAGGTTACATATTACGTCCATTTGAGTTTATTTTTTCTATGGTTGGTTCTTGTGTATCCCTAAGCGTGAAAAAAATATCAAAAAAATAAAAGAAAAATAAAAAATTTCGAGGGGGGGGAGGGAGGAGGGCGCCAGCCACTCTGGCGCTCCCCCTAGCCACCTCAGCATCGCCCCGCCACGTCGGCAGGGGGACGGTGCCAGAAAAGCTGGTTCCGTCCTGTTGGACAACGGCGCCAGCCACTCTGATGCCCCAAAAAGGACCATTTCTGGGATAAGTTTTTCCAGGGGTCTATTTGCGAAATAAGTTTTTCAAAAGGACTAAAATGTGAAAAATCCAGCTAATAAGCCATATTAGAGCCCTAGGTCGCATGGTAGGAGAGCTTGGTAACAAGTGTCTCCGATCGCATGGGCTTTGATGCGACATGTGAGATTGTAGGCTTGGCACTGAAATAAATATTCAGGGTTAGATGTGTTGATATGACGGAGGATATTGTTAGGCCCGATGTATGACAAACAATACTCATCTGTTAGACTAGTTTATTGGGTTATGTAGGTTTAGAATTTAAAGTTGTGGCTCCCGTTGGAACTATGGTGGAGCAGGCACAATCTAACCTAGAGGTGGCTCACGGTTGGTGGCAGTTGCGCCCCTAACAGTGGCCAACAGATCGATGATGTGCACCTACCGTAGTTCAGACAGATGGATTCGCCCAAGGACAAAAGCGCCAGTGGCTGGGCATTAGATCTCCAAACGCGCAAAATTAAGGAGACACGAATTTTTACATGAAAAACTCTGGCGGGAAAAACCACAAGCGCCAAACAACAATGATCACTATTGAGAATTTGGCTACAAATGTAGGGAATAATAATGGAATATCACCGTTCTTATGCAGTTTACAAGAGATATATATCGGAGATAAAAGATAAGACTTCTAATGTGGGAAGACTTGAAGTTCTATTAGAAAACTAACCTAAATCTGAATATATTGTTAGTAGAAATTGGGATCATAGATTTAATATGTATTTAGCAAATGGAACAACATGAGGGGGTAAGTGCACGCAAAAACTGTGTTGCAGAAGTACATGGCTTGATATAAAGTAGCTGAAGCATCTACAGTACCGTGTATAAGTTTCCCCAAAAGGAAAACACACAAAAAAAAGGAGGAAATGACAACCGATTTGCAGCATACTCTTGTCCAAAAGATACTTGTTGCTAGGACAAACAACTTAGGTTCATTTACTTGTCCAAAACATCATATATTAATGACTCCCAAGTTTCCTATCAGTTGATCTTAAGTATTGTTCTTGGGACCTGTAACACTCGACTTATTGCCCAGCTTGCACGCCACCTGCACAAATATGTTGTCACATAGCCTATGAAAGAGCACAAAGTATGCGATTCTCCATTATTTCCTGAACAGCAAAGTGCAAAACACCAACCAGAGAGACACTACGAACCCTATGCTCATACCAAGATACAGGACTGCTAAATCATCTGACACATCGTCAACTTCATCGTGTCTTCCTCTCATTGCACAATTCTTGCGGAGAGGAGGGCCGCAAAGGCCAGGATTGCCGATGTAGATGTACTCTTGGTCATTGAGTGTCTGTAGTTGATGCCCTGATGGTATTCTCCCCGACAAATTGTTGTAGGACAGGTTCAGCCAGCTGAAGGAAGTTAATTCCGACAAACTTGACGGTATTTCACCGGACAACCTGTTGCGAGAGAGATCCAGTGACTCCAACCCCTTCAAATCGCCGATCGTGTTCGGAATCTTTCCACCCAAGTGGTTGCCGGAGAGATTCAGGCTCTTGAGCCCAAGGAGCAGTGATATCTCCTCTGGAATCTGTCCTGTCAAGCTGTTGCCTGACAGATCGAGGAGGACGACCAGATTGTAGTTGCTGAAGGTGTAGTGAAGCTCTTGGCTTTTGGTGAACGATGATATGCTGCCCTCGTAGACATCGCCCCTGTTCCCATCCGGAGTAGTGCGCCTCATGGCCTTCATGCCTGCTAGAGATTGAGGTATTATTCCTGATATGTTGTTGTTTGCAAGGTCCAAATAATGAAGGCCAAAAGAGTTGGTTAATTCCTCTGGAATGTGGCCAGAAAACATATTCGACTGTAACCGCAAAAACCGTGAGTACGGAATTCTCTTTGCTATCCATGTTGGCAGCTTCCCAGAAAAAATGTTGTGTGAGAGATCAAGAAAACGCAAATATGTGGTATTTTCAAGAAACTGTGGGAATGGGCCTGTGAGGCTATTGTTGCTCAGGTCTATTGTAGACATGCGGCGCCAAAATAAGGCGAGAAGAACGGATCCAGATCATCCGGTGGTAGTGCTTTGTAGTTATCTGAACATTGTGGGAATTCTCCTGTCAGGTGATTGCTTGACAGATACAAAGATACCAATCGACGCAACTGGCAGAAATAAGCAGGGATGGTGCCTGTGATGTAATTGCTGTAAAGACGCAGCTCCTCTAACCTGGGAGCTCCAAGATCAGATGGTAGTGGCCCGGACAAAGAATTATTTGAGAGATCAAAGTAGGTGATGTTTACAGGGAAGCGTGGAACTTGACCTGTCAAATTGTTGGACCCAAGATCCATCACCATTGCCAACATATCCTCTGGAGTTCTGGGTAAGGTACCACATAACTGATTGTCCGACAAGTTCAGTGAGTAAGCTTGAGAAAAAACGGTCTTAAACCAAACAGGCAAAGAATCACTTATGCACGTGCCTGAGACATCAAGCACCCTGATTTCAGTTTGCCATTTTAGCCATGATGGGAACTTGGGACCTAATCGACACGACCGCAAATGTGCTACCTTCAGTCTGAATGGAGGAATCCAATCTTCCTCGAAGACCATCTGCTTGAAAGAGTTCCCAGAGAGGTACAAATATTTTAAGTTCAGTAAACTTGAAAAATGCTCCTCGGAAATCTGTCCGGTGAAATTATTCCAACCGAGATTTAGGTAAATCATGTTTCTAAGTGCTCCAAAACCCACAGGCAGCTCACCAGTCAGTGTGTTGTGTGAGAGATCAACAAAATCCAGGCTGCTCAACTTTCCTATCCAAACCGGCAGCTCACCGCTCAAATTCGTAGAATGCAGGTCCATCTCTCGCAACTTATTCCATGAACACCTCGGTAATCTCTCCATGAATTCTGTTGCGTCCCCATCAATATAGTTGTCATATAGGCTAACAACCTGCAGATCACACAGATGCTGCAGGGTTGTCGGTATGGTCCCCATTAGGTTGTTGTGGCCAAGATCCATAACCTGAAGTGCAGACATGTTACCAAATGCGTCCGGAATGGACCCAAACCAATGGCCTTCTGTCAGATAGAGCTCCTTGATGCCTTTGTGATCCCAAAGCCATTTCTGCTGAATCGAAGCATTGAATTTGTTGACTGAAAGATCGAGGACCTCAAGACGTGTGAGGTTGAAATGTGACATGGTAGAGATGGCACTCTCAAGTTTACAGCCCCTCAAGCGAAGAACTTTCAGGGAAGAGAGCGTGTTGACGGTATGGACCCAGTCCCTGACGGCACTAAGATCCACCCAACTCATGTCAAGATGCCTCAAAGATGACAGCCCTAGCAACCATGACAGGTCTGAAGAAATAGTACTCCCTCCGTTTCAAAATGTTTGACACCGTTGACTTTTTAGTATGTGTTTGACCATTCGTCTTATTCAAAAAATTTAAGTAATTATTTATTCTTTTCATATTATTTGATTTATTGTTGAATATACTTTCATGTACACATATAGTTTTACATATTTCACAATTTTTTTTTGAATAAGACGAATGGTCAAACATGTGTTAAAAGATTAACGGTGTCAAACATTTTGAAACGGAGGGAGTAGGTCCATATGAGAGATCAAGATACTGCAAATTGGACAGGTTCCCAGGCTGTGGAGGAATTCTCCCCGAAAAGCTCGGCCCTGAGAGGTTCAGGTACCTCAGGTTCTTCAGGTCAGCCATGAACAGAGGTATGCTCGAGTCGTTGAAGTTGTTCCAGCTCAGATCTAGGTACCTCAGATGGTGCAGAGCAGCCAAGGAGGAGATCATCTCACCTGTATTTCGCAAGGCCAACGCGCTGTGTACCCAGCTACTGTCGATGTCAACCCGGACCTCGTAGAACAAGATCCAGTCGGTGTCACTGTGGACGGTGAGGTCGTTGCGCAGGTCGAGCTTGACGACGTGCCCGGTCGAGCCGTCGCAGTGAACCCCGCGCCACCGGCAGCAGCTGTGCCCGCTCCATGTCGCGAGGCGGCCCGCGGGGTCCAGGAGGCTCGCTCTGAAGGCGGCCAGGGCGTCCCTCTCGCTCGCGACGCAGCTCGCGCCCGACGCGGCGGCTGGTGTTGGGGTGATGAGAATCAGGCAGGTGATCACCGTCGTCGTGAGAGCGCTCAGCTGGGCAAGGTGCCCGGGCTCTGCCATACTCGGAAGCACCGATCTCTTTAACATGGTTGCATGCATGGGCGTAAGGTAGAGATTCAGGCAAGCATCACAAACGCAAATGCCGCCTTCATATATGGGCGGGTCTTTTGATATAATAATGGCCGAACTTTACCACTGGCGCTGGATGTCTCTCACAAGTCGCACACACCACAGAGGAGACGGAAGGCGCGGCATACTTTCAAGTCATTTCGTTGGTAAAATCAATCAGAACTAATTGATGTGTCGATGGTGTTAGGTCTTCAGTCCTCACTTACGTACTGATCTTGGACATCTAACTGGACTTTTCGCCCGTAGTGACAGAGATATGTCAGGGGGTGTTTAGATCAGGGTCTAAAGTTTTAGCGTGTCATATCGGATATTATATAGGGTGTTCGGTACTAATAAAAAAACTAATTACAGAATATCTCGGTAAATCGCGAGACGAATTTATTAAGCCTAATTAATCTGTCATTAGAAAATATTTACTGTAGCACCATATTGTTAAATCATGGAGCAGTTAGTCTTGAAAGATTCGTCTCTACCGAGAGAGAATTTTCCAGGATTTGCCGGCCAGTCTTTGAATATGCTCATAGGGGTAGGATTTGCGTGCGTGCGTTCATATGGGTGAGTATGCGCGCATTGTGAGTGTCTAAGTTGTACTGTGTAATTCTCCAAAAAAAGATTCATCTCGCAAATTATTCATAATTTATGCAATTAGTTATTTTTTAAGTCTATATTTATAAATTTATGCAGGTGTTCAAACGTTTGATGTGAAATGTTGTAAAAACATTAGGTGTGATTTAAACAGGCCCTTGGTATGTGTCCTCGGTATGTGATTTCGACCAAGACAACCAGTGGTCCTATGTTCGACTCTTTGTCAAATTTTGATTAAGGGACTGTCTAAATATCATCTCACACAAAAAAACCTAGAATCTTGCATATCACGGACCGTCTAATCTGTCTATCTATTATATTATTAAAGGAATAGAAAAATGAGCCTCCATGTTCGCTCTCATGGCCTAGAAATTCTCACATTAATCGGAGAAAAAGAAAAAAAACAGAGTCCATATAGAAATACGGCCTAGAAATTCTCACATTAATCGAAAAAAAGAAAAAGCAGAGTCCGTATAGAAATACAATTTAGAAATAGCTGAAATTCGGAATTAAAAAATAAGGAATATTAGAAGAAGAGACTAGAGTCCATATCAAAATACAATTTAGAAATAGTTGAAATTCAGAATTAAAAAGTAAAGAATATTAGAAAAGGAGACTAGAGTCCATATAGAAATACAAGTAGGAAATAACTGAGATTCAGAATTAAAATAAGGACTATTAGAAGTAGAGTATAGAGTCCATATAGAAATACAATTAGGAAATAATAGAAATTTAGAATTAAAAATAAGGAATATTAGAAGTAGAGTATAGAGTCCATATAGAAATTTAAAACTAACTAAAATTCGGAATAAACATAATAAAATTAAAAGTAGATTTTAGAGTCTGTATAAAAATACAATTTACAAATAACTAAAATTCAAAATTAAGAAAAACATAGGAAGAAGAGTTTAAAGTCAATATAGGAATACAATTTAGAACTAACTGAAATTCGAAATTAAAAATTAAAGAATATTGAAAGATGAGTTTAGAGCCCACATAGAAATACAATTAGAAATAATAAAAATTCAGAAATAAAAATAAATAATATTGGAAGAAGAGCCTAAAGTCTATATAGAAATACAATTTACAGAAAATTCGGAATTAAACAAAAATTTAAAGACAAGTCTAGAGTCCATATAGGAATATATATAATTTACAAATAACTAAAATTTGATATTAAAAATAATTAATAACTAACACGTATATAAAATACAATATGAATATTACACTTTAGTAGTTTTGTAAAGTTATTGCAAAATTTAAAATTATGTTGTCATTTTAATATATATTAATAATATAATGAGAAAACATATATGCTATTATATGAGAGAAAATATAATGATGCTAGCCGCGAAATCTACGCTGACCACCATGCTAGTTACTTTAAGATCTGTGTTGCTTAGTGATTCCACCTTATGCTCTCACCCCCACCGACCGATGCACATCGATTTCATTGAAGTTCTCTAGATCTCGCCTAGTGTGCCGCTGCACCCTCCTACATCCAGCACTCCAGCGCACCAACACCCGACCTCGCTGGCTGGCCAAAATCACTATTAAAAAAGATAAATATGTGTCGTCACTATAGGTGCCGGAAAATCTAAAACCGACACCTATAATAGTATAATGTATTTTCCACCCATGTACCTAGCCCCACTCGCCAAATATTTAAAACCGGTACCTTAATGTCCAAATATGTGTCATTTTTTAAATAAAACCGACACCTAAAACCTGTGTAAGAGAAATGTGCTGGTTTTAGACCCAAAACTGGCACCTATGTGTAGGGCAGTCATGTCACTAGTGACTAGCCACTATGCACCCATCACATTCTGAAGCTGCTTTTGTTTTTTTTTTTGGCCATTACCTGTACTGCTAGTCCTCTGAAAATGGGAGTAGAAAGGTTCTTCATCACAGACAACACACAATTGGCATGAAGGGCAGGTGTAACAGAAACAGATGCTTCTGTTGCTGCTGCTGCTGAATCTGAATGATTTGTGTTCTATCAACCACGGCTATAAATCTCTCTCTACCTGAAGTCCTGAACCCAACTGCTTTACAATTTCTAGCGCTTCAGAGTAGTTACTAGCTTCAGTGTTGGATATGCTGTGCTTGTTCAGGCACTGGAAGTGAGAATTGGAGGAAAACAAACTGATTGCTGGTTGATGCTTGCAACAGTGTGGCAAACAATTAATATTCAGATTGTTTTTCTCCAATATCTCACCTTCAGGTTGATTGCTTGATGGAATACTTTAGTTGGGCAGCACATGAACAGATTGGCAGCTAGTGTTGGGTTTTAGCAGCTAGGACCATATTTATATGTGCCATTTGAAATGAGGATTAGAGGGAACTGAACCTTTGATGAAGATCAGAAGGTTCAGTTTCCATATCTCACCTTGAATGGCCCATCTGGAAAATGGCTATACCCATCACATGTGCACCAAAATGTAGGAATAGGAGAGTACCAAAACAGCCGTCAAGATATATATGCAAATGTTCTAGGATTTAAAGATAGGAATTTTTAGACTTACGAATTTTTAGACTTACCGAATTTTGACTTAGTCTTGTAGGTTTTTATTTGTTGTGAATGTGAATGTTAATCTGAATGTGAATGTTTTATTTGTTGTGAACGTGAATGTGAATCTGAATGTGAATGTGAATGAATGTGTTGTATGGATGTGGGGCTGTAGGGATGAATTTGGGTTTATATGGAATTGGAGTTGTATGGATGAATTTACTGTAATTTTTTTTTACCCAACAAGTAGGTGCCAGTTTTTAGGTTAGAACCAGCACCTATTAGGACCATATAGGTGCCGGTTTTAACCTAAAAAGGGCACCTATTTGACAGCCACGTGGCTCTTTGGCTTAGAACCGGCACCTATTAGGACCATACAGGTGCCGGTTTTGAGGTCAAAACCAGTACCTATTTGACAGCCACGTGACTCTTTGTCTTAAAACATGCACCTATTAGTACATATAGGTGCTGCTTTTAACCTCAAAACCGGCACCTATTACCTAATAGGTGCCAGTTCTAAAACCGGCACTGATGACAAGTATCATCAGTGCTGCCTCCTTTGTGCCAGTTGGGAAAACTGGCACCTATTAGGGTTTCCCAACCGGCACTTTTTACCCTTTCTGTAGTAGTGAATGCATCAACAACGCCAACGAGGTCCCCCAGCAAGCCTCCTCCTCCTCCTCAAGCCCGCAGCGGTCAGGTGCCCCCACCCTATCGTCTCCCTTGTCTCTTGTGGCTTCGCACCACTAGATCCACCACCCTTGTCCACTGCCTCCTAACCACCTCTTCGCTTTGTCCCTACCGCTACCGCCACCCCACCGCCCCTCCATCCTTCACGGCATAGATGCCTCCGCCAGCACTTCGTCTCCCGCCCGTGTCCACTGTCAGGCCATTGCCTCTCATTGCAATCACTCCACCAATCTCCCTCATCTACCCTCTCCCCTCCCACCAACCTAGGACCCTAAACCCTAACTCGTTCGGCCGTCACTGGTCACCGGAGCTGGAGGAGAAGGAGTTAAGGTTGTCGGAGCAAAAATCGCAAATGAAATCAGTAAAGCTTAAAATCTTAAAGTCAGCTACTACTTAACATGAAGTAGGACAACCTTGGGTCGACACGTGGCCCTCCATAAAAAGGAGAGCGAGATCCGCATGAACTGATTGAGAGCTTCTAGCCCTTGGCCACGATGGCTCAGCTCGGGGACAATCCCTGCGATATCCTAGCGGGTCACTATTGATGAAAAACACGAGGCCTGGGAGATTTGCTTAACTCCAGTGCAGGTCCAAAACTCGCCTTCGGGTATGCTAGCATGCCAGTTGATTTGATCCTGCAATCAACAAGAAATAAAGGCAAAGAAACCGTGGTTAAATCCATAAATGATAGCCGATTGACTAGATACCGATGACATATCATTTATCTTCGATCCGATGTCATATGTAAATCGATCGGCAGTTATAAATAGATAATAAAGAACTAAATCTACTCGATCGGCTGTAGATATTAACAATATATATTCCTTGTGTCGATATATACTTAAATCAAGTGATTGGGATAGATCGGTCGCCATACCGAGACAGTATAAATCACTTAGATCGAAATATATATTAACAACAAGACTATATATGTTCATAGCATAGCCGATCAGATAGATCTAGCATGTATCGGCTAATACTCTGATACAACTCTATGTTAAGATATTAAAACAAGCAGAATACACCAAACAAAAGCTTAATATACTTAGATGCAATAAGATCTTGACATATAGGGCAGATTTAACATGTCAATAAAACATATAGAGCAAATGTAGTTAAATCAGATAAGATCGGCTGAAACCCCGATACTACCCTAATCGGCAAGCAAGAGGCAGGCTAGAGATTGAGATTCTAATCACGACTCATAAGATCAAACAACTGATGCAGCTATAAGTATGAGAAGAAAGACAATGTCTAGACAATCAAGCCATTGGAAATTTCATAGAGTGATGGATATCGTATATAATCTAAATCAACATCAATATTTAACCTAATCGGCAGCCCTCTATTGATAGATATTAGCCGATTGTAGGTTAGATAACGATATTGCCAGAGAT